TTTGGTTCACAGGTTTTCCTTAACTCCGTGTTAGGACATTAGATTCTGTACCACTTTTTCGTTATCTTAGGAATTTATTTCGCTTTGTATTTTATTCCCACTCTCGATTCCTCGCTTAGCAGTCCGGTAATTTTAATAATTAGGGTTTAGTTAAAGAACCTTCCGCCTCTAAGAAACTCCGTTTGGAGATATTCCTTTGTTACGTTCTATGTTATTAAATTCGGAAGTAAAATTTCTACCACGGCATAATGCATTATTAGGAGGTAAAAGGCCTCGCAGGCATTCTAGAACGGTATTTTTTTAACACGTCATGCACGGGTGCATCTTGCCTTATTTGGTTCACAGGTTGTCTAGACTCGTGTTAGGACCATTTAGCTTTGCTGTACCACTTTTTCGTTATCTTAGAATTTATTTCGCTTTATTTTATTCCACTTCGGATGCCTCGCGAGCAGTCCGGTTAATTTTACTCATTAGGTCTTATTAATGAAACCTCACCCTCTAAGAAAACTCCGTTTGGAGTTATTCCTGGTTACGTTCTATGTTATTAAATTTCGGAGTAAAATTTGCAACACGTGCATAATGCTTATTAAGGAAGTAACTGCTCGCAAGGCTTTCTAGAACGGTATTTATTTTAACACTTCAGGCACGGGTTGACATTCTGCTTATTTGGATTCCCAGGTCTTCCTTGACTCCGTGTTAGGGTCATTAGCTTTTCTGTACCACTTTTTCCGTTATCTTAGAATTTATTTCGCTTTTATTTTATTCCCACTCTCGGATTCTCGCTGCAGTCGGTTATTTAATCATTAGGTACTTATTAAAGAACACTCTCAACTTAAGAAAACTCCGTTTGGAGATAATTCCTTTGTTTAGTTCTAGTTGATTAAATTTTCGGGTAAAATTTTCTAACACGTGCATAATGCAATATTAAGGAGTAAAATGCCTCCGCAGGCATTCTAGAAACGGTATTTATTTTAACAACTTCATGCAGGGTGCATTCTGCTTATGTGGTTCACAGGTTTTTCCTAGACTCCGTGTTTGGACATTAGCTTTCTGTACCACTTTTTCGTTATCTTCGAATTTATTTCGCTTTTATTTTATTCCCACTCTCGATTCCTCGCTAGCAGTCGGATATTTTAATATTAGGTCTATTAAAGAACCTCTCACCTCTAAGAGAAAACTCCGTTTGGAGATATTCCTTGTACGTTCTATGTTATTAAATTTCGGAGTAAAATTTTCTAACACGTGTGCATATGGCCAAATTATTAAGGAGTAAATGCCTCCGCAGGCATTTAGAACGGTATTTATTTTAACACTTCCCTGCACGGGTGCCATTATGCTTATTTGGGTTCACAGGTCCTTTCCTAGGAATCCGTTGTTAGGACATTTGCTTCTGTACCACTTTTCCGTTACTTAGATTGATTTCCGCTTTTATTTTATTCCCACTCTCGATTCTCGCTTGCAGGTCCGGGTTAATTTTAATCAGGAGGGTATTATTAAAGACCCTTCCCCCTTAAGAAAACTCCGTTTGCGGAGATATTCCTTGTACGTTTTTGTTATTAAATTTCGGAAGTAAAATTTCTAACCGTGCAAAATGCATTATTAAGGAGTAAAGGCCTCCGCAGGCATTCTAGAACGTATTTTATTTTAAACTCTTCATGCACGGTGCATTCTGCTTATTTGGTTCCATCAGGTTTTTCTAGACTCCGTGTTAGGACATTAGCTTTCTGTACCACTTTTTCGTTATTTAGAATTTATTTTCGCTTTTATTTTATTCCCATCCTCGATTCTCGCTAGCAGTCCGGTTAATTTTAAATCATTGGTCGTATTAAAGAACCCTCTCACCTCTAAGAAACTCCGTTTGGAGATATTCTTGTTACGTTCTATGTTATTATTCTTCGGAGTAACATTTTCTAACACGTGCATTAATGCCATTATTAAGGGAGTAAATGCCTCGCAGGCATTCTAGACGGAATTTATTTTAACCATTCAAGTCACGGGTGCCATTCGGCTTATTTGGTTCACAGGTTTTTCCTAGATCCGTGTTGGACCATTAGCTTTCTGTACCATTTTTCTTTATTCTTTAGATTTATTTCGCTTTTATCTAGATTTTTTTAATTTACCGATTTATGTATCATTTTACATGTTTCATTAAATGTTTTTTTAAAGAATTTTGATTATTTCTTGGGGTCTACATGGACCATAATTTTTTTCAAATGTTTTGCAGTAAGAATAATTTTGTGATTTTTTATTAAAATCTAGATTGTTGATTGATGGGTTATTATTTAAGAAGAACCATTTTTGTTTAAGATTTTACCGTAAAGTAATAAAGTTACATAATATTCTCGTTCAGCAGATTGCACATTGGAACGTTATGAAAATCGATAATAATTCGTGTTTCATTTGTCTTAGATATCAACTATTCGAAGGGAATGTACAAAAAAAGCAACAAAATGTTCATAGCATGAGCTGCAGTACTTAGAAACTTTGAAATGTTCTTTATTGACTCGCAGTCTTCATAAAAAGCAATTCATCTCAAAACTTCTTCTTCCATTAAAAAATCAATATATTTGATATCAAGATTCACGTCTTATACACATACATATTACATAGTAGGTATGCTACTAAGTTAGAATATTGATAATGGGTAAGAAAGGAGGTGGCGGTGGTGGCGGTGGTAGCGCTGCTAAAGGCGGCGGGAAGGGAGGTGGTGGTAAAGGTAAAGGAAAAGCAGATGCTGGTGCTAGTGCTGCAGCTGAACCTAAAGAGAAGAAAGGTTTGTTAAAAATGATTATCCAATAAATTTAAAGGATGAGGGGACCTTAGAATTTACTTCCAAATATTCGCGTTTAAGTCCTGTGAAAGTGTGTAGAATCAAAAAATACGCCGGACTGTGAAATCGATAATTCGTGCAATATCACGCCGCGCTCCTATTGGCTGATAGCAATTTTGGGCTGTGACGTCACTTATGTGTTAAGACCAACGTGCGCGCGCACCCTTCGCTTGTGTCAGCATTTTGTTCTGTGCTGTTTTAAATACGTCGTGTTACCTTTGGCGTTTGCGAGAGCGGTATCTTTGGTTGCACTGAATTAGTCAAGATCTAAGTTACGAATAATTCTCCTTAATAGTTACATGTAACTCAGAAAGGCTTTCTTGTAGTTGTAGTAGGTATTTCTATTTATAAATAGCTAAGATAAGTAGCATCCGCTAACTAAACCACAAACTGCTATTTTGTTTTGACTTGTTTGAAACCCGATATGGACACAATTAAAAATCGGCATATTTCTTCATACAAGAATAAAGATCTAAAAATCGATTGAATGTATGATGTAGTAGAAGACATTTTACTAGCTGGCCCTTGGCGCCTCTAGTCCTATCTGAGTGCGCACGTGCGGTTTGACAATGCGGCGTGTACCGGCCTTTAGTTGTACACTCATTTATAAATTTGCCGTTTTAGTTTGCTGTGACTTGAGTGTAAAGCGTAACGAATGTGGATGTGTTCGTCTGCTATGCTTGGTATAATATTGCTTGGTGTAATAGTTGCAAATCTTGCTTACGTTATAAGTAGTGTCACATAGTGAGTTAGAACTTAAAAGCTTGGTGCTTGTCCAACTGGAATGAAGACATGCATTTCATACCTACCCGATCCATTTTTATAAGGACCGTGTTGTGTTGATATGACATGTTGATATATCAACTGTGGTACGATACAGGGAGTTGCTAGGTGTTACGTTGGGAGCTATAAATATACATAATTTACATGCCTTTCTGTGTGACTTCAATCTTATTTCAGGTTTATCTCGGCTCATGGTTATCGTAGGGTGATGATTCTTTTTTCAACCGGTCATAAAAAGTCTCCTCTCCATTGGTTATAGGCTCGTTAGTATCGTAAATTGTTAATGTATTCTTAATTAGTAATTTAGTCGGCCCGCACGCTCATTTTACCTGTATTTCTATATACGCAGATCAGAGCAACTCACATAATTGACGTCACAGGTTCAAATTGTTTTGGCTGGATATCTCGGCGCGCGAATGAAATACAACTTTGCGGATTTCACTAAAGTTGTTTATACGATTAATGTAATAAGAGGATTTGCACGAGAAAAACTTTTTCTAAGGTCCCCTCATCCTTTAATCTCATGACATTTTAACGTAAACTGATATTACTATATATTATTAGAATATAACATGGACATGTGCAAGGGAAATTGGGAATACAAAACAATCTGTACATTTTAAGGCTTGTTTATCCTGTGCGGCTGTGACAACAGAGTGTAGTGTTAACTATATCCAGCTATATTTCAATTATAACTATAAAACCGAACTAAATCATAATTACATAATTACATAATTACATAATTACATAATTACATAATCACATAATTACATAATTACATAATTACCCTCATTACACATGACCCACTGCAGGTCTAAATTCGGTGAAAGTTCGCCATATTCTGTGCGAGAAACACGCCAAATCCATGGAAGCGCTAGCCGAGCTGGAGAAGGGTCTCAAGTTTAACGAAGTAGCTACAAAGTACAGCGAGGATAAGGCTGGGAGTGGAGGTAATCTGGGGTGGATGGTGCGGGGCAGCATGGTCGGGCCCTTCCAGGACGCCGCGTTCGCACTTCCTAAAAGTACTATTGCTAAACCGGATTATGTTCAAGTTAAGACGAAACATGGTTATCACATAATCATGGTGGAGGATAAGAAGTGAAGTTTTTTGTTGTAAAGTTTTGGTTTTAGATAAATTATTTGTTTTTACTCTTTAGGTAGGATAAAATTCTGTTTCTTAATTGAAAGGACACAATTATATAAAATTTTTTTTGGGGATTGCTGGGATTCTCTGTTTGTTTCTGAATATAGTTCCCATTTAATATTTATAAATTCGAGAAGTTATTTGACTACCTTATATCTCTGTAGTCCACATACCGATTTGCCCAACTTATTAAAAATTACTTATAATTTTTCTAGTGACTTTATTTCATGCAAGTAGCTGTGATATCTAACATTATTTTAGTGTAATGTCAGGAAATGAGACGACACTTCAGGATAACTCTACCTCTGGATCGCTCTTAAAGGTTATTCCTTGTGATGAATCGGCATTTTCTGGAAACCGTACATTTTCGACATAATATCAAGAACCCATATTTTAGTGTTTTTACAGGTTGAAAGCTATCATTTCATTGATATTTTGTACACTGAATAACAATTACCAGGTGTACCTGCGGCTGAGGGACACTAAAGAGCACAACGACGTGTACTATGTGGACACTGAAGATCCTGTCTCCCTGGTAGCAACGGCTCCGGAGAACTCTGAAACTCACAAGAACTCTCACCGGAACCATACTCTCTCCGTTCAGAAGTTTAAGTTCTCCAAGATATTTGTACCCAGTACAACCCAACCTGAACTGTTTGAGAGCACTGCTCTCCCTCTGCTAGGTGGGTGAAATGTTCTGGAAATATGTTTGTTTTGTGATTAGCTAAGTGTTGTCAGATGGAATTGGCTTCTGTGTTCACTGTGTTTAAAAATAGCTGTGTTTAAAAGTTTCATTCTCTTTTCGTGTTGGTTGCAGCAGGTTACAAGTTTAAGACCTGGCAGTAAACCAATTTGTTAACTACATTAATCCCACACAGACGAGTGCCTGAATCTAGAGAACAACGCTCTACTCTTTACCTACGGTGTGACCGCTAGTGGCAAAACACACACAGTTCAAGGTCCTCGACATGATGCCGGCCTGCTACCCAGATCTCTGGATCTGATATTCAACTCTCTCGGTATGTTGATGTCGCGACTCGCGCTTGTTGAATCGTGCGATTCTTGCACAGAATTAGCTTGAAAGTTGTGATGAAATTTGCTCTCAAGATAACGAGAGGGCGCACAAAATACAGAATAGGGACCCTGGACATACTAAAATGGGAACGCGCATTGACGTCAATGTATGTAAAGTTTGAGCTTTGGTAATTCACACACGCTTTTTGAAACGAAAAAACGCGCGTAAAGTTTCGGTGGGAAAACAGGATCCCAACTTAGGAATTCTAATTTTATCTCCAAACAAACACACACCAACTTACATTATTATATTTCCAGGTTCGCACATCAAGCCAAGGTCGATGTTCTGTCCACATTTGCACAGTGAAGTTTGTAAGATGACTGAGAAACTGCAACATCAGAACGAGCAGAGGAAACAACGGATACTCTACCCTCCCAACACATCCCAGGTTTACTGAAAATAATACTAAATAATACAAATCATATCATACCACTATACCAGGTGGACCGTATGTTCGGAATATTATATCTATGATTTCCAATAATAATGATTCTCCAGAGTATTGACTGATATAGAGAATATAGTGTAATTTCAAACGAATAAACTTCATCTTCGCGTATTGTCTGGAATTAGAGAAATTAAAATCAGCGAGTAATTCAACTAATGATCGTGTTTCGTCAGGATTTGGAAATAACTGGGATGACTGATCCTAACTCAACTCGGTGTACTATTGGGAGTATGACAAGCGAATGTACTGCCTGTAAGTCTCCGCTGGATAATATCTTCATTGGACATGGGGAGGCGACGCAAGTTTGCCTTGCCGCGTGATAATGATTCTGGAACATACGTCATCATCATTGTTATCATTGCGTCGTCTCCTCTACTCCACAGCAATTTAAACGCATGGAAATTAAGTAAACTGGCATAACTAATCGCTAATCTCCCAGCTTCTTCAGACGAAAATACAAGTTATCAGATAACAGATAACGTGTTGGTCCAGCTGTCCAACCCAGAGAACATTCAGTACAGTGTGTGGGTTAGCTACTTGGAACTTTATAACGAGAATGTATACGATCTTCTTCAGCCTCCTCCCGAACAAGGTTTATTATATTTTAAATATTTCACCACTACACGTTTTCGACATGTCTAACATGATGGTCAAGTGATTTAGCACATAATTCAATCCATAAGTTACATCAAGCCTCCTTACATTGTAAACACTATACACCGAGGCCGACCTACATTTTAAAAGTAAATCTGTTAATTGTAATCTTCAAAAGTCACGTTATTCAGCCATCATCAAATGTGATTAAACAGGTGAAATGAAGCCTCGTGACCGACAAGCGCTAAGACTGGGGGAGGACCACAAGATGTCGGTGTATGTAAAGGGAGCCACACAGCTGGAGGTCTGCTCGTTTGCTGAGGCTAACAGAGCCTTGATGTACGGCCAGAGGAATAGAAAGGTATGCAGATCAGGCGAGGACAGTTTGTTTAATTGTTCATTTGTTTTGTCGGATTTGTCATAAAAATAAATGTCACCCTTTATATGTCACGACTATGATATTAGACATTGATTGATCGATAAATTGATGTTTGATGTAGAACAGACTGTTATTTCAGAAAGCTGCTACGAGCATGAACCAAAGCTCCAGCAGGTCACATGCCATCTTTAAAATAACAGTCATCGCTACAAACACCATCTCCCAACAAAGCAAATGCAGCCAGTAAGTTGATCTAGTCAGTTATTTGATCTAGTAGAGTGAAATTATTCTAAAAGATTACAGTATGGAGTATTGTCAATTATTACTATGAGAAATCCCAGAGTTGTATAGCTATATCATTTTTATGTAATGTTTAATTTGTGCTTAGTTTCAAATCCTAAACTTTTACATCATCCAGGATAACATTTGTGGATTTGGCGGGAAGTGAACGGTACGGTAAGACGAACACAGCAGGGGTGCGGCTAAAAGAGGCCGGTAACATCAACACCTCCCTTCTTACTCTAGGCAAATGCATCTCCTCCCTCAAACACAACTCAAAACTCCGACCCCGACAAGCGACCCAGGCCCAGATTGTTCCATTCAGAGAGAGCAAACTCACGAGGCTGTTCAAGAACTTTCTGTCGGGGGAGGGTTTAATAACTATGATTGTTTGTGTGAACCCGCACAAAGACTTCTTCGACGAAAGTATCCATGCTCTTAAGTTTTCTGCTCTGGCCACGGAGGTATATTGTTTTTATTACAGCAAAATTGGCAGTTAAAATGGATTTCCTGTAATGTTATGATACCGACGGCCGAATCTTGTTCCACTTTCAAGTCTAAGCATGTTTTAAAGATTTAGCCTTCCATTGTCGACTTTCTGTAATCTGTTTTTTTTGCACAGATTGTAATTTAATCGTAACGTTTAGGCTCTGCTACTGCCCCGACCTCCGAGTAGGATAGAACAGGCTACAACTTCTGACGAGAACAAGATGTCTGAACTAGACTTGCAGCAGATGAAGTGATTATATATTTCACTATATTTCATTATATTTCACTACTTCTATTATTTATCGATCGTGAATATCGAATGATTCACGATCGATAAATAATAGAAGTAGTGAAATATAATGAAATCTCCTACGAATGCCATCTTATACGGAACATTGTATATGACTTTGAGTCATGAAATGATGATACTCAGTGGTCTGATTATATCCTTATAAATATCTTATCTCCAGGTACGAGATAAGAACAGAAGTGCTGGGAGAAGTGCAACAGAGAATAAAGAGGATGAGAAAGAATCACGAGTAAGTGAAAATACTCAGCACTTTTCAAATTTCATAGTTTTAATATTACATGATGAGCCCACAGCCGGACGAAGTATTACTGGGACTGGGAAATATCGAAAATCTGAGTTTTTACAGCATGCTATCTCAGGGAGGATTTGGCAGCTCAAAAGGAGCGAGAAGATAGATACCACGAGGGAGTGGAGGCTGGTCTTCAACAATACTACAAAGGTGTTATTGATGAACTCAAGAAAAAAGTTAGAGATGCCCGTGCACAGAACGGTTACACCGGTATGTTATGACTACACTGGTCGCGGTATATAACTAAATTTGAAAATTCTGTTTTTTTTTCGCGTTGCACGTGATTGAGTTCTTATTCCCAAAAGACAACTCCATGATATTTAGTATTTAAATCGCGTGTTGTTAATATTTAATCCTTCTTTACAGGGAGTAAAGAAAGTCAGGAGAAGATAACGAAAAAAGAGGAAACTATAACAGTTCTAAAGAAGCAATGTCAGGAGTTAGACGAAGAATTGCAACAGACCAGATCAGAGCACAAACTCTTCAAAGCAGAGATAGACCAGCAGCTGTTCCAGACAAAACTTGAACTTAAGACAACTCAGCAGTTGTACCATGACGGGAATCAGGAAAAGGAGAGGTCAGTACATTTGAGAGGGAAAATTAACAATGAGAATTGATAATGTTATTTTGTTAAAAAGCGACTGTGTTAAAGAGAAAATCTGTGGGCACGATGTAATCATTTGAATTTCACTTGTAAAGCACGTATCTGAAATAAGCTTGAAAACCATTGAAATTTGAATCATCACCTGCTTTTCCATCCTATATAGGTTTGCGAACTCGATATCAGAGAAAGAGAACGAGATAAAGAGGATGTTCCAAGACTTGGAGGAGGCGACAAAGCTGTCCACATTCTGGGAAAAGGAATGTAACGACCTGAAGGCTGCTAACGCACAGCAGGTAACCACCGGTTACTAACCGGTCGAGATAGTCACACTTTTATTTTCGTTTATCAAATAATTTCTCGCTATCAGTATCACAAGATTTTACTTCATTATTTAAGGGTATCACAGTTGACTGGTCACAAATTTTGTCGTTCGTCTGTGATTGGTCCGTCTGTTGCAATTTACATTATGCTGATTTCAGATTGAAAGGCTACAATGCCAACTGAAAGAAGGTGCAACAAATCAGCACAGATTGGAAACGGAGATCACCGAAAAGACAGATGTTATCCAGAAGATCACTAAAGAATCTCTCCAAAAAGGTAACTTGAAAGTTGAAGCACTTGTTGACTAACTTAACATTGATCTTAATTATACCAGTGAATTATTTGTATCTATGAACGGAAAAATTAAGCCTAATTCGGGGTAACTAGATAAATCCGTACGTACAGATGGCGGGAAACAAGAGCTGGAGGAGCTGAGGAAACAAGTTGAAGTGGAGAGACAGATTATTACCCAGACAAACTCAGAGAAATCTCAGCTACAGTCTGATCTCAGAACTACTCAGACTAAGGTAACAGCTGGGTGACAGCCGGGTAACAGCTGGGTAATAGCCGGGTAACAGCTGGGCAACAGCTGGGTTACTAACCAGTCGAGATAGTCACACTTTTATTTTCGTTTATCAAATAATTTCCGGCTATCACAAGATTTTACTTCATTATTTAAGGGTATCACAGTTGACTGGTCACAAATTTTGTCGTTCGTCTGTGATTGGTCCGTCTGTTGCAATTTATATTATGCTGATTTCAGATTGAAAGGCTACAATGCCAACTGAAAGAAGGTGCAACAAATCAGCACAGATTGGAAACGGAGATCACCGAGAAGACAAACGTTATCCAGAAGATCACCGAAGAATCTCTCCAAAAAGGTAACTTGAAAGTTGAAGCACATGTTGACTTACTTAACATTGATCTTAATTATCCCAGTGAATTATTTGTATCTATGAATGGAAAATTAAGCCTAATTCGGGGTAACTAGATAAATCCGTACGTACAGATGGCGGGAAACAAGAGCTGGAGGAGCTGAGGAAACAAGTTGAAGCGGAGAGACAGATTATTACCCAGACAAACTCAGAGAAATCTCAGCTACAGTCTGATCTCAGAACTACTCAGACTAGGTAACAGCTGGGTGACAGCCGGGTAACAGCTGGGTAATAAACTGGAACACTAGAAATTACCATGATCACCATAATTCAGTCGTTACGTTTCAAAGATCATAATATTGTGATCTAACAGTAACTTCCTCGTGTTCTCAAATCTTTAAAACTGCTTAAAAATCGTCAGAGCGATGCCCACATAAAACCCAGATTTACCGCATAGTTTGAGTAAACAGCCGCGGTAAATCGTTTTACTATAATCGACACGTGATCTAAAAGTAGTATGACGCCCAGTTAGAGGAAATGAGAGGAGTGACCCAGCAAGATAAGAAGGATATCACGCTACTGAAGGATAACTGTACCGAGTACACCGCTCTTATCTCTAATCTCAAGTCTCAACTGGAGACTCTTCAACAGGTATTTGTTTCCCATTATATAATGGGATGTCTGAAGAGTTAAGCTTCGTGTTTGAATTTAAACATCAGCAATCAGAATAGACCACAATTAGTAATTAGTATTAACGTTGTTATCGATTTAAATGTTGGATGATAATCAATTGATTATAATTTATGATTAAATAACTAATGTCTAAACGGCGTTCTTTTAATTCTTAATTTCAGCCTTCGCAGATTTTATCGTCTCAAGAGAGCAAGGAGAACAAGGAGAATCAGGAGCCAGACTCCCTGAGGAGCCGTCTTACAGCCGCGCAGGAGCAGGTTCAGGAGAAGAACAAGCTAATTTCTGAACTAGAGGAGGAACTTGGAGACATCGTCAGGAACAAGTCACTCCAGGTCCGGTCTTACTACTAAAGTTTTATCAAACATACAACTTATATTTCAATGTGTACGAGTGCAAGCTGCACGACACATTTTTTCTCCTATACTCGAGTCCTGGCTGACACTAATTCTATATAACTACTTTTTAAAAGTCGCTAAAAATAAATTAATTATTGACTTTCAGAAAATTTGTATCTGAAAGTCTTTACTCCTTGTATCAATACTAAGAAGCTATCATTCCCTGATTCAGAACAACACCAAAAAATCGTGGACAGAAGAAGTTTTTAATGTTACCCCTTCTTACAGTTTGATACCCTGATCTGCAACAAAGAAAAGGAATGCGAGGAACTGCAAGCTATACTGACCAGAAAAGACGATATAATCTCAAATACGAACAACAAATTACAAGACCTAGAAAGTTTGGTGAATAGCCAAAAACAGAAAATTCTGGAACTTCAGGATTTGGCGTCAGTTCAAAAGGAACATTTGTGGTCCGTCGAGCTGGGAGCTAAAGATGATGTGGAGAGGTTGCAGTTAGAGATCGAACTACTCCAAGGTACCAAGTGGCAAGTTTACCCATCAATAGATTATTAGCCTTGGTTGCTGGTGGGGAGGGAGCCATATTTTCTGTGACACGTGATACCCATAACCTATTGGGGTCCCAACAGCGACCAATTGGATTAACGAACCAATGTCACGTGTCTGAAAAAAACATGGCTCACTTCCCCACCAGTATCCATGTCTACTGTTCAATTAAATAGTTGATTATTTGGTAGTACGAGTGGAATGTGGATACCGCTGCCGGTAGAGCGCAGGTTTGATGGCGAAATTAGTTATCACTTACTTTATATTAAAACTAGAAAACCCGTGGTCACAGGGAGGACGCTAATATTATTCTTTGTTAGTAAGTTTAAATCGCGTCAAAAAATATCCTACACAACCGAAGATACAGCCAAATAAAATGTTGCTCGTACTAAACACAGCGTAATATCAACAAAACCGATTAAAATGACGTTAAAACAATCATTGCACGTGCACGTGCGTGTAACAATCCTCGTTACTATGGTTACTACGCAACTACCTATTTTTCATCTAATTTGCACGTGGGCGGTCGTACAGACAGCAGAAATAAATTCTCTGAATTATAGTAGAGATACTTACTTTGTGTAAAAGATTATCCTAAGTTTTTGTTTTTTAATTTTCATAGCGACAGCAATTATCACATTTAGACAAATAACAAGTAAAAAATTGTGATTTACGCAAAATCAATCACAATTAACTGTCAGGTGGTAATCTGAAAACTCCACTTTAACGATGGGGAACACAGCAGAATTGGAGAGACAAGTTAACAAGCTGAGGGTGGGGTGTGAGCTCAACAAACAGGAGGCAGATAGAGGTAATGAACCAATTAATTAATAGTAGCAGCAACTTTAAGTCGAAAATTGGTCAAAATGTGTTGCAAAATTTGACGAAAACTACTTGTATTTGTCAAACTGTCAAAGCATTAAACAAAAATTAAACAAATCAACGGTTAAAATAATAATTCGCAGTAAAAAATAACTTTTAATTAGTCCTGTTCCTTGTCCTTAATCAACCCTGCTTGCTTAATTCTATAATTTCCTACTTAAAAAGTTCATCTCAAACCTAAGTTATTTCGAGAGCTTTTTCTCTAAAAAGGAAGTTTCTTACTTTAAAAATTGAATATTTTTTTTATATATTTTTCATAGATCTGTTCAATCTATTCATTATAGGGGGGGGGGGGGGGGGGGGGGGGGGGGGGGGGGTCCAAGGGGAACTTTGGGGAACTTTGGGAAAGTCCCCCAAGATTTCTGAAGTTCCCCAAAAAAAAGTTCCCCAAAACTCCCCTAAGTTCCCCAAAATTCCCCAAAATTATTCAAAATTATTCAAAATTATTCAAAATTATTCAAATTATTCAAAATTTCTCTAATATACATTAATACCCATTAATGTTAACATGTATGTTATTATAAGGTATAATCTTAACTTACTTGTTGATACTTGCAGCATGATAATTTTTTTGGCATGATAATTTTTTTGGGGAACTTTGGGGAATTTTGGGGAACTTTCTGAAGTTCCCCAAAAAAAAGTTCCCCAAAATTCCCCCAAAATTATTTGTTTCATTGATAATTTTTTGGGGAACTTTGGGAAAGTCCCCCAGGTTTCCTGAAGTTCCCCAAAAAAAAGTTCCCCAAAACTCCCTAAAGTTCCCCTGGAACCCCCCCCCCCCCCCCCCCCCCCCCCCCCCCCATTATACTAAATCAGCCATGTAATTAAATATCTCAGAAACTCATTGAAAAATCTTAATAGAATTGCAAAATAGAAACAATGAACAGGAAAACAATAGAACGTCCGGAAATAGCTTTGTGGTCTAAAGAAAACCGTTTATTTCTGAGTTCCCGGGGAAATCTCTCGAAGTGGGATATTGATAGTTGGTTGGGACTGTAGGAACTGTATTCGCTTCCGCTGAACACAGGCAACAGGTATGAAGAAAAGAAGCAGAGCTGGCACTATTACAACTATCACGGAGTAAAAGACAGTCGATGGTATGGTCACCATTCCAGAAGCTTCTTTGCAGTCAACAGACTCTGTTTTGACGCACTCCGGAACCACCATATCATTGGAACACTTGGTGGTTGTATAGTGGGAATACCCTCCCGCAACCTTTACTCCGTATCCTAGATCACAGAGCACTGGTATTGTTTCCCCTGGTAAATGCAGAGGTTGGGAGCTGTCCAGCAGCAGAGTTGCGTGTGTCACATTGAGCCGCTCGCAGAAGCCCTCCTGCTCCACCATGACAAACCCAATCAAAAGATCCAGATCGTTCCTGGGATTACTCCGTGAAGTGACTGTAACGAATGCGTAGGTATCCTGTCTCATTATGTTCCATTTTCCCATGCCAGACAACACATCAATAGGTGACATTATCATCTTCTGGTTCTCTTCCTCTTCATGCGAGCAGTCCTTCAGCACCGCCAGAGAATACATCTCATGCTCATGTGACATCACCCTCACAGTCACACACTTTCTTGAATCCATGTCCGTTATCCTGACGATGTAGCCCTTGGTGATCTTCTCCAGTTTGTTGATGCGCCACAGAGTGGATGTAGTGTTATTAGCCCTGCAGTCCTTTGTCCAGGTCAGCTTTTCGTCTCCCCAACTCCAGGGCACCGAACTTACCTTCAAACACATCCCTGTTTTCACTTGCCGGATGTAGATCCCGTCTTTTCTCGCCATTTCAAATTTCCGTTGAACCTCCACCAGCTGCAGACATGTCCTCTCCCCTGAGTAGATGGATACGTTTTTGTCATAGCGAGCATTTTTGAAGCCCAGATGGCGTTCATCGTACAAACTACAGAGTGAGGAGGTCTCGAGTGCAAAGGAGATGGCAGTGCAGTTCTCCAAGTAATAACAATACTTCCAACATGTCAGACCTGGCGAGATTGCAAACTCCAGGTACGGCGCGGAGATTATCACCTTCTGCTGGTACAGGCAGTCCTTTGTGGTACTGTCCTCCAAATGGAGGGTGGAGTGCAAGTAGCAGGCCAGTATCAGGCTCCATTTTGTGAAGGAATTCGAGAGTGGCATTCCCTTCAAAGTTTTTGCAACCAGAAAATTAGCTTGTGAGGTGTGATGATCTTTCTTTAGATATAGCTGCGAAAAGATTTTGTAGTCAGTCAAACATTAACAAAAGGAAAAGAGGAGCCTCGTACGTTGAAATATTTGTGTTATTCTTTTCTCTTGCCGTATATTCAATTCCTTTGTTTAGTTGGTTTGAAATTTTCGAATTCGCGACGACGCTCCTAGATTTTGAGAAACAAAACATTGTGACATTGCAGTTGTTCATCGATAGTTCATAGTTAGACCTCAACCCTCTAAGTTATATCAATAAACAAAACAGCAATGAGTGATATAGACAGATGGATATCAATTTTCCATTTTTGTCCAATTGCCGAATCCTTTTTCATGAATCATGATATTCAGGAATTTTCTTAAAACTTGTTGATTGTAATTAATTGACTGGAGAAATGTTGAGCTCTTATGTTAAATGTTTATTTGAAGTATTTTGAACTGACACATTCGTCATTTTATTTGAATTCAATCACCGAACACATCAAATCATCATAGATGGTACTTGATTGTTAATGTTAAACTGTTAAGGGTTATTAGAGAAACTCTGTTTTAACTTAGATCGATTCAAGTCGACAAATGAATACTGAATTTCTATGATATGGAAAATAAAAGTCGAATATTAATTAAAGAAATATATGTTTTTAGCCTATCATTCAGAATCGTGACGAGTCTATGGCACTAAAACTGGTAAAGTATGCTGCTGTTTAAAAAATGGAATTAGTTAATATACTCTAATAACTTAGTATCAGCTACATACCAAAAAAATATGATATCAGTAATATGACTCAATAAGCTTTGAAGCCTACAAACCAAACTGGGGAAACTGTTTCTTGAAAATTTCAACAATAACTGGAATCAAGTGAGGCGCAACATCAAATGTCCCAGCCATTGTTGCACCTGCTAGTCCTGCTACACCTCCAACTGCGAGCGCTGCCAAAATAGCACAAAGTAAGTTATATTTCCACTTAGCTTCACTGCTTCAGCGCCTTCCTTCTCAGATCTTTCTCTTTGCTCACGATACATAACAATGTAGCAATGTCCTGCAGAGCTCTCTCTTTTTGCGGGCGTAGACGGTCGACTAACTCAAAGTCTCTATTCCTTCTTGCATTTTCTACCTTCGCTTGAAGACAAGCAGCGTCTCCCTTTGCGTTTCTTTCACTTTCTCTTAATTTCGCTGCTTCCTCCTCAGTCCTTTTTATAATCTTTTCCTGACGTTCTTTGTCTTCTGTTAAGTTTGTCACGTGATCTTGAAGTTGTTTGATTTCTTTTTCCGCTTTATATATTGCTTCCTTTAGACCATCGTATTTATCGATGACCTTCATGATACCATCAACAGAGGTGTTAAATCTGTTAGTGTCGATCAGAATGTTGTATAGGGTTTTGATATTTTTCTCAAATCTGGTCCTTTGATCATCTTCGGTAGTTTCGAATTTTGCATTAATTATTAGAAAAGGTAGATTGAGATTAGTTTCCAGTTCAAAGATCTTTTTAAGTTGATCGTAGAGTATGTTTTCTCCTGTACCTTTTCCCCCTCGACAGAATAGAAAAAAATCTTGACATGCAACCTGCAATCCGAAGGTGATTGCAGCCCTTACGCATACAGAAGACTACAAGCTCTTCATGCTTCTGTAATTAAATGATACATAACAATAACCAGTATCATCATGAATCGATATACTTACTGAGCTGAGTTTGATGTCACTGGAAAAAGGATTGACCGTAAAATTGTATATAGATAAATGCCATTTGTAACATTTATTCCTCTGAATTGAAAAACGACGTAGTATGTTGAAAGTATGAATCGTGATGTGAAGATCAGAGCTCGACCGGGATTTGGCGTTTTTGTCCCGGCCCAGTGGCGTAACGTTGCCTGTTGGTGCCCATGCCAAAAAAGCACCCCCCTGTTGGCGCCCCCTCCCCTTTTAGTGCCCCTCCCTAAAATATAACAAATTAGATGATTTTAGAGGATATGCCCGTAAAATCTCTAAAAAAATTGTGTTTCTAGAGCAAAACGCGCAGTTTTGCTAGTACCATAGTTAAGTTTTAGAAATTGTCCCACATTCAAACGATGATTTGGCGCCCCCCTAAGATTGCGCCACCCCCCCCCCCCCCCCCCGCACAGCGGGGTCGATGGGGCCCTTCGTTATGCCACTGTATTAGCCAGGATTTTTAAAACAAAATTTTGATCTTTTTAATCCAATTTAGCTTCAAATTCATATTATTACTTTGACTTAGACAAATGAAACGAACGTTAAGAATCGAACTAATCGAAATGAAAATCGAAGGATTGATTAGATTTTAGGCTCATCTTCATCCGAAGATTTAAAAAAATAAAATTTTCCATTTCAACATAGAAATATCGTGAAAATCCTGGTCCCGGTCCCGGCCGCGATTTCAGTTTCAAGATTAGGTACACCTCTGTAAAAAGATACAGGTTAGGAAGCAGGTGTGTAGGGCGGGAGGGGGGATTAATGAAGTAATAATTACTAACTCAGCCATATTTTTCTTATATATTTTTTATAATACTCTGGCAAGATCTGTTGAATCTATTCATTATACTAACTCAGCCATGTAATTAAATATCTCAAAAACTCATTGAAAAATCTAAATAGAATTGCAAAAAGAAACAATCAACAGGAAAACAAAAGAACGTCCGGAAATAGCTTTGTGGTCTAAAGAAAACCGTTTATTTCTGAGTTCCCGGGGAAATCTCTCGAAGTGGGATATTGATAGTTGGTTGGGACT